GGATTTTAATTGTTCGACGACGTGAACGAATTTAGTTAATTAGTTAGAAAACGTGAATTTTTGGAAAGGGAAAATTTTCTTTCAAATTTGCATTCAAATGTGGATCAGAATAATTTTTAATTATTAATATTTCGAGTTTCACTACTGATTTTACTGTTAAAGTTCTCTGCGAATATTATTAATTACTATTATCGTTCGTGTGTTCTACGATATTAATTTGGTATAAGAATATTTCAATAAAATAATATTTTAATCAAAATAAAATTCCATTTTCGATGGCAAATAATTTTCTAATTCGAAATTTAAAAAATCTGCATTGATAATTCAAATGAAAAATAATAACGCAAAATATTTTTAAAGAAAGGATCAGTTTGCAATATCAGCGAAACCCAAATAGCAATTAAACCACTGCAAAAATTAATCGTGTTTTATGCACGTATACACATACTTGTAAGACGAGGGATAACTCGATTCTAATGACTCTAACTCTCGGTGACTGCTTTACTTAATTCTTCTTGATACAGAACACGGTGCTCCCCTCTCTCACGTAAGATTCTCTGGCTCGCATTTCGAACTGCCCTTTTAACGCTAGAACTACCGATCTTTAATGGGTACCTAACTATAACGTGCAGAGATTATAGTAATTTCAGCGATACGATGAGTGAATATATCGATCACAGTTCTTTCTTAATACGAGTTGATTCCAATTTTATTCTTAAAGCAGGTGTATGCGTTCGATGATTGCAAAAGGGGAAATTCTGGGACCAGTCATTTTGACTGGGTTGGTAGATCTAGTGTTAAAGATGGGCACACAGTTCTTTCTTAATATGAGTTGATTCCAATTTTATTCTTAAAGCAGGTGTATGCGTTCGATGATTGTAAAAGGGGAAATTCTGGGACCAGTCATTTTGACTGGGTTGGTAGATCTAGTGTTAAAGATGGGCCTCCTTTGTTACTTCATCGAGCATCAAGCGAATCGCCACTTCGATTTGAGACTCACGCCGCCATATTGGTAATCGGAGCTCGCATAATCTTACCAACTTTTACATACTAAACTTATCTAAATTTCAAAACGAATAAACTATAAAATTTCTCCTACACATCGTACTTAATCAAAAATTCCCGAACCCTTACCTAAAACCTAAGAAACTCTCAATAATATCTACAAAAACACTTAAATTCCCAATCTTCCATGTCTCAAATTTATTCTACTGCAAACGACTCCCCACTCTTCGTCCTCCAAAAAGAAAAAATAAAGTACAAAAATGACAATACCATACCAACGGAAAGAAAATCGGTAGCGATAAATTACTCACGGCAACAAACATTCCACGGCCACCGGAACACGAGGTTCCTCCGCCAGGAAGGAATCATGGCGCGAGCAATATCGCATAACGCGGCAACAATATAACCTTACTAACGAGAGTACCGGAGAAAAGTTGCCTGGCTGGAATACATCAGCCGCGCGATATTTACGGGTTTCAGCTTCCTATGACGTCAGCCCGCGAAAATCCATATATCAAATGCTAGAAGGCGCATCCGAGAGACGATGAGTACCAAGCCGAGGGATTCTTCAAAGGTGATCAGCGGGGGTTCTCGAAGGTCCTCCGCCATCGTACGCCGCACGACACGCCGTAGGAAGCGTACGCGCACACTCTGCGCCTGCGCGTTCCAACCCTGCGCACGAAATCCCTGCGTTCCCCTTAAACGGCAGCTTCCTCGCGCACCTCTCCGCGTGGTTCACCTCTTTTCGCGGGAAACACGGGGAACAGAGGATGGAAGGAGACAAAAGGAAAGAAAAATAGTTATTAATCGTGGCGTTGGGTTGCTGAAAAGAGGCGCAGACATATGCGAACGAAGAAGAGCGACAGCATCCTCTACCTGACGCAGCGAGAGAGGATAGCTCAGGTAGCCGGTGGATCCTTTGACCTTTCCACCGGCTGTCCTGCGGGATACGTCTCGTTCCTGTCCACCTTCTGTCTTTTCTCACCGAAAGAATTCCGCCAGCGGCCGATTCCATCGGGGGCGGGGTCCCGGGCTTCGGTCAGCTCCCGCTATTCATTTTGCTGCCTCCGAGAGAATGGGAGAATTAATAAGTGACATCTCACGGGGTCCAGGCTCTGGGCACAGGGTTTTACGCGCGCCGCGACGAGGAAAAGAGGGACCAGAAGGGAAAAAGGTGGAAAAGGGTGCGGGAGGGAAAGGAGGGGATGAAGATTGCTCCTTTTTTCTTCTCCTTTTTTCCCTTTTTTTCTTTTCTTCTTTTCTTTCAGAGTCTCTCTTCCCCTTGTCGTCGCGTTGGCTCACGCGGGCTTCCTTCCACTTGGACGCGCCGCGCGACCCCTTTGTTGTGCCGGGGCTCCCTTTGTCAGAACGCCGGGAATGAAGCACCTTGTCTTAGGTCCCGCGTAACACAATGCCTCTCGCAGATAAACCGTGTCTAGTAAGTCGGAATGGGGGATTGGGGGGACCTGACAGTTGCGCGAGGTGTGATTGGTGGCTTCCTTTTCGGGGTGATGTTGTTTTAGGGGTCTAGGTGATGGGGCTCGCGTTTGGGGGCTATGGAAGATTATTGGGGACTCAGGGTGACGTTTGGTTGGCTGGTGGTTGAGGATGTGTGAATTTAATGGGGGTAGTGGAGGCGGGGCTCGATTTAAATTGCTCCTCGTTCGTAATATAGTCATCAGCTGGTATAATTGTAATTGAAGATTGATTCGCTAATTGGATCAATTATTGGGTTCCATTGGTATAGTCTATGATAAAATATAGGTAGTCTAACGATACCAAGTCAAATATAATCGCTATATTTCTCGTAGAGTCAATATTAATATTTTAATCGAGATTGAAAACCTACCCCTAGGTTCTTTGTTCAAATTCGAAGCATCTGACTTTAATTGTGGTTATGTGATTAATAATTATGTTTATATTAAATTTTCGGAAATATCAAATCGGATACACTCGCTATGTTTATATAAAATTAATCTTGAGATTATAACAGAGATTGAAAAACCAGCCCTAGATATTATCTCCGAATTCTTAGCACCCTTAAACGTCCTAACATCGCAAGGGACCTCATCCATAACTCAAATATTCATCAAATTATTATTTGCTATTAACTGAATTAATTAATCCACGTTCACGCATAATCTCGTCATAAAGACACCTTCATCTGACACAGGATAGCTCTCTATCTGACACAGGACATTACGAGGACTCACATCCATAGCTCAGTTACCAATCAAATTGCTATTAGCTACCAACCGAATTAATTAATACTCATTCACTCACAATCTTCTTGTATAGTCACTTTCATCCAACCCAAGACACCTCTTTGTCTGACACAGAAGAGCTCTCTGACTGTCACAGGACATCACGAGGATCTACATCCATAGTTCAGCTACCAATCAGACTACTATCAGCTACCAACCGAACTAATTATTCTTCATTCATTCACAATTTCGTCGTGCAGACACCTTCATCCGAACCAGGACAACGCTCTGTATGACACAGAAGAGCTCTCTGACATTCACAGAGCACAACGAGGTACCACATCCATAGCTCAGCTACCAATGAAATTGCAATTAGCTACCAACCGAATTAATTACTCCTCATTCACTCGCAATCTCGTCGTGCAGACACCTTCATTCGACTCGGAACAACTCTCTGTGCGCTAGCGTTTAGCCATTGGCGGAGGAATGGTCCCAGAGCTAAAGGAGGACACGGGAACGATCGATCCCAGGGTGTACCGTTCGAAACGGCCGAGGGATACGGCTCGGAGGAAGATGCAAAAAAGCCCGGACGATCGGGCAGCACTTCCCACGAAGTGTGCGAGCGATCAATGGGGGAAGCGAGCCGCTGCATGACGAATGGGGGCGCAGCCAATTTAGATGCATAGAGGTCGTGGCGTAGGGTCGTCCGACGACCTGTCGTGTCTCATTCCCGCGGGGACTACGTCCACGGTCTCTTTCATTCGGTGTAACGAGGACGATCGTGCGGCCACGTCTCGCTGCATTTTCTCGCATACTCGTTATCGAAACGGTGAAAGGCCACGTTTCGTACTGGATCGGTGAAATCCGTTGGCTAATGAACCGGCCTGACTCCGGGGACTACCGAGTTGTCTAGCAGATCTACGATCCTCCACCTACGGTCGTCTACGAGCATGGTCTCGGATGAAGTTGTACTATTGACTGTGAGGGTGGTATCGGGTACCCAGACTCTGTTTAAATAAATATTTAGAACATGATATTCCATTTTTATATGTACTCAGCTTCAAATAATTGATTTCGGTCTTAATTTGATATTAGGATTGTCAAATTTGTATTCTGTTTCTGAGATTATAGAGAACGTGCAGGTGGATTTAGTAAGGGAATTATATACGAGTTTATTTCGCTTTGTTATGTTGGTATAGTGTATTTAGGTACTTGTAGTAGGTTGATAATTCTGATGTTAAGACTAGAGTGATAGGTATAAATAATAATTTTCTAGGCTTTGATAGGATTCTGAATAAAATCTGAATTTTGTGTGATTTCTTTCTTAAATTTTCAAATTTTATGGAATTTCGTGGAATATAGAATTATATAAAATTTTTCACCTATATTTAATATTGTTAAAGTATTAATTATAGTATTAAATATCAATTTTTGTGGAATAAGTGGAGGAACCTAAATTTCTATTATTTTATATTCCCAATTTGGAAATTACCATGACTAAAATTAATTTGTGTACTACATTTATTATAAATTTTCTGTTATAGGAAGAGATATTAAATTTCTCGGATAGTTCAAACTACATAAATAATATAAAGTACAAATTTTGCAATGTTTAGAGGTTCTTTTTCGAACTTATGGCATTGAGGCTCTTCTTAGATCTAACAGTACAATTGCGGTGGCGTTGGAGACTGATGGGTGAATGAAAAGCGGTTGATTGAAGCTTCGAGTAGGATCCAGTAAACGAGGCGTGGGTGTAGGTGGTAGAAGATTGAAGTGTGATAGAGAATCAGTATGGGTGTGGAAAATGGATATTCGAGTGGTTTGAATGTGAAAGTAAAAAATGCGAATAGAACTAGCGAAATGTATGAAAGTACTATAAACAAGAAAGATGATATACACTACAAACGTACAAGTACAAAAATTGTAACGTGACAGGTCAAACAAGGTCAAAAAGGTCAAATAATAAAAATTGCTGTATAACAAATAAAATTTTAGTAAATAATAACACTTGATAAGAGATTATTATATTAGAAACAAGGGAAGTCCCTCAATATAAAGACTTAGTCCTTCCTAAATGCTTCTGTTATTTTTTATTAAAAATATTATTAAAAATAAATTATATGTTATATACTATTAAAATTAAATTAGACGTAAAATAAATGTAGCATATCATACTGAAATATAAATTTTAAGTTTCCATAGTGAAATTTAAATTTTAGGTTTTCAGATAATATGAAGACCTGTATTTGCAATACCTTTCTGATTATTACAAAGCAATAGGATCACTAATTCCAAACATAAACACTCAGGATCCTCAGTTGCATCGAATCTGCAATCAACTATTCAATTAAATCCTCAAAAATTTGCAGAATCCCAAACATAGCCAAAATCTAAAAAATTTACAGAATCCGAAAAATCCACAGTATCCCAAAAATCACCAGAGTCCCAAAGATTTCCACAATCCCAAAAATCCACAGAATTCAAAAAATTCACAGTATCCCAAAAATCACCACAGTCCCAAACATTCCCAGAATCTCTAAAATCCACAGAATCCCAAAAAATCACAGTATCCCCAAAATTACCAGAGTCCTAAAGATTCTCTGATTCCTAAAAATCACCAGAGTCTCAAAGATTCCCAGAATCCCAAAAATCACCAGAGTCCCAAAGATTTCAAGAATACCAAAAATCACCAGAGTCCCAAAGATTCCCAGAATCCCAAAAATCACCAGAGTCCCAAAGATTCCCAGAATCCCAAAAATCACCAAAGTCCCAAAGATTCCCAGAATTTCAAAAATCCCCAGAGTCCCAAAGATTCCCAGAATCCCAAAAATCACCAGAGTCCCAAAGATTCCCAGAATCCCAAAAATCACCAAAGTCCCAAAGATTCCCAGAATTCCAAAAATCCCCAGAGTCCCAAAGATTCCCAGAATTCCAAAAATCCCCAGAATCCTAAAAATCCGCAGAATCCCAAAAATCTCGTCTAGAATTGAACATCAAATTGCCAAACACCTGACTCTCACTCTTCACGGACCCCATATCCGAAGCCTTCAACCACAGCTAGTCTTCCCAGAGGAATTCGTATCTGCTCTCCAGCTATTCCGCTCATTATCCGCGCATTATCGACATTGTCTTCGCTAAATCTGATATCCCGCGTCCTGGGTGGCGGGCCAGTGTAATTACTAACACGAAACCGCAGGCTGGGCCGCCGATTGGCCCGATCGGGGCTCGCGATGACGAGAGCCTCTCGAGCCTCCCCTGTCGGCCGCTAGACGGCGGGGCAAGCGGGGACAGGGTAGGACGGACGGGCTGCATTGCGTCTTCATTATAAATCCTGAGAATCACCCAAATTGATAACGGCATCCGAAGGCTGCCGTAAAGATCCTCGTAATACTCTAAAGAGGGCTCACCTCCACCCTCGCGCAGCGGGGTGTCTCCGGCAACGAAATAACAGGAGGCCACTTTCGCCTCCTGCCCCTCTCATCGTCGCTGGTGTATCCTCCCCTCGTCGGCGAGTGACGGTTTCGAGAGGTTCGGCGTTCGTTGCTTCCTTCGATCGACTTTAGCGAATAAGGATTTAATATCGGTATTAGGGCTAGTTGAACTAAATGGAACTCGAGTGTCACCGAAATACCAAGGCTGGAATTATAGTGAAATCGATGTAACAACGAAATCGACTATTATTGGAACATCGGTACCGATCGGGTATCTAAATTGACGTAATACTGAAATCGGCTATTATCGAAATCGATTATAATACCGGTATAGTATTTAAATCGACGTAATACTGAAATCGGTTATTATAGAAACCAACTATCGCCGAAATATCTACATCGATATAATATCAAAATCGACTATCACCGGAATACCAGTATCAGTATAGTATCTAAATTGACGTAATACTGAAATCGGTTATTATCGAAATCGACTATAGTACCGATATAGTATTTAAATCGACGTAATACTGAAATCGGTTATTATAGAAACCAACTATCATCGAAATATCCATATCGACATAGTATTAAAATCGACTATCACCGGAATACTAGTACCGGTACATAATACTGAAACCGATTATCGCCGAAAGACCAATACTGGATTAGTATCGAAGTCGACTATCGCCGAAATACCCATATCGGTATAGTATCGAAATTACTATCACTAGAATACCAGTACCGGTATGGTATCGAAATCGAGTATCGTCGAAAGACCGATATTGAATTAGTATCGAAATCGACTATAATCGGAATACTAATACCGATATAGCATCGAAATCGGTATAATACTGAAATCGGTTATTATCGAAATCGACTATCACCGAAATACCAATATTAGTATAGTATCGAAGTCGATTATTACGAAAATCGATTGTCACCGATGTATCAATATCGGTATACTATCGAAATCGATATAATATCGAAGTCTATTATTACTGAAATCAACTATCACTGAAATACCAATACCAGTATAATATCGGTATTTTCCATTTCTGTAAATTATCCCTATTCCCCTAGTGACGAAACTGATTGGACTTCTAGGGGAAAATTGAGGATATATATTTCCTGCTTTATTTCGTCGATAGAGGAGGAGGAGAGAGAAAAAAATGGGACGATATTTCGTTCGATTTCGATGATTTCGTGTGACTGTTATCGTGCTGGGATAGGGTTGGATATGAAAGGTAGTTAGATTAGGTAGGTTGGTTTTTGGAGGAACGAGTGATGTGAATGGGAACGTGATTACTGTTCTGAGCCTGGTACTGTAGTGGAATTTATATGGTGATCCTCGACTTCAATTTCGAATTAATTTCATTTAAATATTTGTCGTAATTACTTTCTCGGTATTTCAACAATATCCTACTAATAATAATATCATTATTCCTATAATTACACAGCAACCCTACTAAATTTTAGTATCGAATTAAATAACTTATATAATTTGTATATGTGCCTGTGATTATGAAAGTGGTCTAACTTACTCATTTTTGCTTCTGAAATATTAAAGACTTCGGCCTTTAAATACGTCATAAATTATAAAATTAATTGCGATAAAGCTACAAACTCAATTCTTCACTGTTAAGTAGAAAATAAATATATTTTATCGTAATATAAACGAATGCAACACGAAAGAAATAATAAAATCCTTCCTCTTAAGTCAATGACTTAGATCACTCTCATAATTTTAGGCACATATATCAAGGTATATAATTGGAAAGTAACCTGTGTCATTTTACTACTGAATTTTGTATTCGATAAATAAACAAATTATCGTGTATTGATATGCGAATGCAGAGACAAGATATTGTGCAAGGTTCGATATGATCGATACGAGGCAACTAGTGACACATTTCACTCGTTCCTCGAATTCCCTTGGCTGTCCTTCACCTCCTTTTACCACTGTACTGTCCTCCTCACGGAGCATGTATTGCCTGTTCGAAGAACGATTGTCATAACGATTCTCCGAGCAATAAGGACTTGTACCGTCTCGAAAACTCTGTCATAAAGATGCGGCTCGTATCTTTTTGTCATCGTCATCCTGGACATCGAAAATGATACAATGAACGAACAGAAAATTTGTCGACTTGTCACTCGCGTGCGGTTTCTTAACCTCTTTCAAGACTGTCCGAGTTGTAGCACACTGCTACGTAGATACCTGAGAATTTAACTCACCAATCTTCCATTTAAAATTATGAAACAGTAGTAGCAGTCACAAAGTTTTTCATTCTATGAAACAAAATAATAGGAGAAGACAGTTTCCTATTAATTTATTTAATATAAATTATTAGACTGAAACAGAGAACAGAGGGTAACTATCTTAACCGTAACAAATTTAATTCTTGGACCATTCCTTTCTGAATCCCTTATGAGTAATTCACACCTAAATTGACATCTAGATATCTATATCTCAGACACCTTTTCTGCGAGTACTTCACACCTAGGTATCTATATCTTAGACACCTTTCCTGCGAGTACTCCACACCTAGACTGACACTTAGGTCCCTGTATCTCAGAAATCTTCTCTACGAGTACTCCATATTAAAATGACATCTAGGTATCTAAATTTCTGAAATCTTTTCTGCTAGTACTCCACACCTAAACTGACACTTAAGTACCTATATCTCAGAAATCTTTTCTGCGAGTACTCCACACTTAAACTGACATCTAGGTACCTATATCTCTCTAGCACTCTATACCTAAAATGAAGTCCGGGTATACTTCAGAAACCAGAGACCACTAATCCTCGATTTGCACTTAGAAAAGACTCACAACCAGCCATTCCAATCAATAAAACAACTTTGAATCGCTTCATTTACCTAAATACCCAAATCACTAATCCAAGTATACACTCAAATCATTTCTCTCCCCCAAGAAACGTGACTCACCCCTCAGCCCCCGGTCGATCTTCCTCAAACCAACAGCCTATCAGCCAGCCATTGTACCAAAATTCCACCAAACACGAAGATCAACAGTCCTCTCGAAGCGCAGGATGTTCGCTGTTATCATTAAACCCCATCCCATTGCCGCCAAGCAAGATTACCGTAATCGCGGAACATTTGCCCCATAAACGGTCCTTTAACTGCAATCGACAGTGTTAATAAAAGGCCTGGCAGGGTAGCAATCATCCGTGGGGGCGGTCGAAGAAGCGACAACGTCCAAATGACGCCGTAAAGTCGCTGCTGAAACAGAGGGAGCAAGAGGAGGAGAGTCCCCCGAGGACCCCGAGACAGAAAGAGACAGTTCGATGGAATCTTCTCGCGACGGGGTGTCGGCGAGGACCCCAGAGCGAGGAAGAGGAGCCGTGATACCTTCTCTTTCCTATCCCTCACCTGTCCTTCACCTCCTTTTACAGTTCTGCCATGATCTCGGCCAGAGAGAGGACGGCTGCAGAGTTGGGCCCGAAAAAGCTTGCTACGTTCCAACGGACGCCAGCGACAAGGGGTGGGTGGTTGGGCGAAGCAGGAGAGAAGCCAGAGAGAGAGAGAGAGAGAGAGGGGACGGAGAGGAGGATAGAGGGGCCGTGATATTTCCTTCACCCAAACGTTCCCCGAACGAACGGTTCCTCGTGGTCGTGGAGTCCCGGAGGAACGAGGGAACCGAGTCTGGAAGCAGCCACAGCCCTCGCTTGGCTGACCGGTGGAAGATTCATAAATTATTTCAGGAAAAAAGGAGGAAAAGTATTTCCAATTACAGTTTTTTGTGAAGGGTTGCCGCGGGCCACGCGGCAGGGGGTCCGCTTAATGGCGACCCGCGCTCACCGCTCCTCCTCCACCTCCTCCTCTTCGCTTCGTCGTCGTCGTCTTCTTCTTCTTCTTCTTCTGCTGCTTCGTCTACTCCTTCATCCACCTTCTCCTCCTCCAGTGCCTCCAAGTCTCTCTACCGATTCTTCAGGGTCCTCCGACGCCGCCAACGCGGCGTATATTCTTTTTCTTTATCCTCCCACTACGCGCGGCCCGCGTTACTCCACCTCCTTCTTCTTCCTTTTCGTTTCGCTGTCTGACGAGCACCGGTGACACGAAAGAGGATCGATCATCCGCCGGCCCTCGCGGATTCAACCTCGGGGAGGTTGACTGCGGGGGTGGCTGCAATAGCTTGCAATCGCTTTATGCCACGTTTCCGAGCCGATTTTAGATCTCTAGGAGAGCAGTTTTAGTAGGGGGCAGAGCAGTCCCGTGGGTGCATTCGGGTTTGGATTTGGGTTGCAATTGGGTGCATTTTTGGATTTTACAGAAGCAGAAATTTGGGGTCTAGGTTAAGTTTTGGGAGACTAATTGTTTTGGAGTTTTGAGGTTTTGAGATGGGAATTTCCAATTCCAGGTTTCCAGAAAATGAGATTCTTTTTATTAACCCTTTGCACTCGACGAATTTTTCGTCACAGAAAAATTGTAATTCGAAAACCTTCTACCAAAAAGTCGACGATATTTTTAACCCTTTGCACTCGGCGAATTTTTCGTTAAAGAAAAATAGTAATTCGAAAACCTTCTACCATAAAG